CACCACATGATCCTAGTATCTAATAAAAGCGGAAAGCCAAAGAGGCTAACCTTGACTACAAAAAAAAAAAATAAAGATAAAGATAAAATATGCAAAATTTTATTACTTTTTTTATAATTGCTTAAATTAGTTAAAAAATTATCATTATTGTCTATATTTGATTTTTAATAATTATAATAAATTATATCAATACAGTATTAATCAATTATAATATATATATAATATATATAATATTGATATACCTTAAATTATTATTATCTTCTTTTTTTGTTTAAGTTGAGAAATTGGTTATGTAATTATTATATAAATTCTGATATTAATATTTTTTATAAATAACTTTGTATATTTAGTCTTGGATTTAACAAAATCAGATAATTGTATACCAACACCAATTTCACTTTGTGTTTTAAATATTATACTATAATTATTTAGAATAAGTATATTATCTTTACTAATGCTGTGTAATAATTTTATTATGAAGCAATAAAAGAAATTTATTGATAGCTGATATAGTTTCATTAAATCACTTAACAGATAAAATTTTTTTGATATTTTATAATTAATTTGTAACTTATTTTATATTCAGTTATTAGAACTATTAGAATCATCTTCATTACTTATTTTTTATTATTTATTTAAACATAGATCAAGAAAATAATAAAGCTATTTTTTAAAAAATATAATATTTTAATAAATATATATATACAGTATATATATATATATAATTACAATAATATCTGACAAGATATCTGTTATTATATTTATAATTATATTTGTTATTAGATTCATTATTATATTTGTATCTATTATTAGGTTCATTGTTGTATTTGTTATTATATCCACTGATTTTTTTATTTCTGGTAGGATTTAACTTTAGCAAAATATTATTGTATTGATTGCAAAGAGAAAAATTGAAGGCTTTTTTTAATTTATTTGATAATTATATTCTTAAACTATTTTATAAATATATTTAAACTTGGTAACTATCCAAGTAGGTACAAAAAGATATATGTATACATGTTTAATCTTAGCAATACTATTTTTTTTATTTGGAACTAAAGATTTTTATAAATGTAAGTATAGTAATACAAATCTTTCATACAATATAAACATTTTTAATATTCAAAACATGTTTCATAATGATATTTTAATTTTGTATTTGTAATATCTGCTATTAAGATTGACAAACTTGAGAAGAAAAAATTTTTTAATTACATAATATATTTTGATAAGATCTAATAAAATGATATGACAACAATTAAAACAGTTAAGGTGCAAATTCAAGAACTTTTGAGGAGAATTCAGGTAGTGGAAGAAGAGAAATATTATTTGACTTTAAAGGCACATGATGTTCAAATATTGAAAAATAAGATCGTGGAATTGAAATATAAAATTCAAAATGAAAGGAATGAAAAGTGCAGATTATTTCAGAAAAAGATAGAATTATAGTTGAACTTCAAAACAAGCTTAGAAAAGTGAAAAATAACATCAGAAGCATTCTGAATATATTAAACAATTATATGAATAGCTTATAATTAAGATCTCAAAGATGTAATTAATCTTAAACTTTGTTCATATAAAAAGAAGAGATTAAGTGCAATGAAACAAATTAGCAATGTTTATACTGATTTTTTTATTATTTATTGTTAATAGAATA